TCATCAAAAAATTGTAGAAGAGAACTTTTTTGATATCAAAATTTTTCGTAATTTGAAGCAAAGATCGTAATTTTTCTTTTTGAATGCTTAAGTATGACAATAGGCTGCCAATCCAACGTGGGATTTTTTCAAAATAATGTTTAATAACAAAGTTGAAATCCGAATTTCAACTGTTAATATCTTCTAGAAATTATCGAAAAAAAAAATTTCTATATTTTTCTGGTACTCCCCAAGGGAGCCTTAACCCCTTAAAAGGAATGACGCCAATTTTGAATCACCCTGTAGTTTGGTAACTGTTCATCCTTACTAGCGTGACCAGGAGGTAGTTTTTTTTTTATCTCAAAGCAGGGAAAAGTTTTTGCTGTAGCGTTTTCCGTATCACACACCCCTTGTAGCTTGCGGGATGCTTCCCTCCACAGTTAGCACGTGTAATTTCAGTTGTTTTTGTGTGCAGCCTTTTGTAAGATGATGTTTAGCACATTTCACGCATACAAGAGTCTTGTAACAATAATTTTTAGTTTTATTATACTCTTCGCAGTTCATGCGCAGACTCTTTTTGCGCGAAGGACCAAAGCTTACTACAGTATGGAGTAATCTTTTGATATCGTATATATCTTTGTTGTTCTCATTTGTTTGAAGATCAACAAGAAGAGTGGTCGCGATTTATGTGATGACAGTTATTGAATATTAGAGATTCGGATTACTTTATCATTAAATGTTTCAATTTCACACTTTAGATACAATAAATTAATTAACAGTAGCTTTTACCCGGGGCTTCGCGCGTGTTGAAGCCCTTAAATAAATATTACAAGTCATTACATTCCAATCGAACTGAATCAGTGAAATTCTGTATTTGAAAATTACTACATACAGTGAAGTTTCAAAAACTGAAAACATGGTTTATTAAAATAATTTACAACTAAAATTAAAATGTATTTTACTACAACAAAAATACGTAATTTTAAATTGTAAAAAAACAATTTTAAAAGATAAAATGCAGATTATTATTCTAGAATATTTTTATACAGGGTTGCTCATTAGTGCGTCAAAGTGCGATATCTCAGTAAATATGAAGTTTACAAGAAAATTCGTCCAACGAAAGTTTTTCACGT